GGGGCTCATGCCCCGGCGTTCAGCTGCCTCTCCAGGGCCGGCGTGTGGCCTGTGGATCAGCAGGCTGAAGCGGAAAACAAGGTCTGAGAACTTGCAACTTGAGAAGATGATGGTTACCAGCCCTGCATTGCCTCAGGGAAGAACAGGAACTACTCTACCATTCTTGAAGTGAAGGTACTTAATGAGAATAGGACAGTGTGGAATGGGGTAAGTGAAGAGAAGAGGATAGAGAAAGATAGCAAGTGAGCAATAGAGAGACAGGACGTCAGTGAGAAACAGATAGGGTTTATTAACTGTTGATGATGACATGTATAGAATTCTCAACTGGATTGGTCTGAGAAGTGTTTCATGATGGGCAAAGTATTTTTACAAGCAAAACGAGAAATAGCAATTGACTGTTTTTTTATAAAAATTAGAATAATAAAGATAATGATTGGGGAAAACAGAAAAGATATGGAATGTTGAAGTGGGGAGATTAATGTCTCTGTACTGACTGACGTGCATGGCATTCCCTTTTGAAGAAACAATGTAATACACTGTAAAGTTTTATGTAATCCAATGTAATATGAAGAAGATATGATGATAAAAAAAAAAGAATTACTAATTCTGAACTAGCTGTAAATGTATTTTAAATTGAACCTAAATACTTCCTATATTATGTTGAGAGGGAGAGAAATCTCTGGCAAAGCTTATACCCATTTTTCAAAATAAAGTTTTGTTCCTATGTACCATCTAAAAAAAAAAAAAAAACAAAAAACCAGTTGGCTGTGTGGGAGTCCAGCGCCCCAAACACCAGGCCACCTGCTAGCCCCTAAAAGGTGGGGCGTTCACTGGAGAGACAGCCAGGTGAGAAATCACTCCCTGAGGGAATGGCTACACTGCAGTCCCTTCTCCAGTTCTCCTCTTGGGTGTTTGGGCATGCACACACACATGCCCACTGGATCTGGGACTCGAACCATGATTGACTACATGGGAGTCCAGTGATGTAACCATTACACCATCTGCTGGTCCCTGCTAAACTTTTACTCTATAAATTACCTAATCTTAGGTATTTCTGTTTAGCAGC